CTATTCTATCGAGCGTTATCGGCAGATCGCGAAATTAATTAAATCGAACGGTCGCGGGGATGAATCATGGAAAGAGCGAGAAAGATGGTTTTGGTTTCTGCGGAAAATCTCGCGAGAATGCAGCAGCAGCAGCAACAGCAGCAGCTACAGCAACAACAACAACAACAACCTGCCGTGTTTCCCACCGTTTCGGCGAATAACGACGCGGGATCCGGTGAAAATACCGTACGCACCCTGGGAACCGTTTTGTCGCGACTCGACGCCGAGATGAGACGAATTCTCGACTCAACGATGCAGGATCGCGAGAAATGGGAATTGTACAGAGAGGCGCTTCAACGTTACCTGCATTTTTCCGAGAAAAAGAAAAAAATCAACAAACGCGCGAAAACGCGGGCGATGACGACGACGTTGCCGAAAACAATCGTCCCGAAAACGACGGAAACGACAACGTCCTCGATGACGAACCGGAGCTCGATCGTCGTCATCGTGAGAGAGTGACGAGGGAAGCGGAGGAGGAGGATGTACCGACGGAGGCGCGTATCGATGAAGATAACGCGGGCGCATTGAGCCGCCCCGTCGGCGAAGCCCCCCGTCGTGAACGCCGCGGCGAGCAGAAAAGCATCAGAGGAATATTGGATAAAATCCCGAAAAGTTATCGCGGTAAAGCGCGCAAGCTATTGCGACATTTATGCGATGTGGCGGTGCCTGTTAGAATAAGCTGGGACAGACAAGGGGTCGTGAGTATAGACGGGAACGTTTTTTTTAAAGGGAACAAACATCGCCAAACTCGTGAACGATGCGGTATGCGAGAGAAAAACCTTAAAAGCTACGGGGAGAGGCCAATTCGCTCGACTATTGCGCGATATAGCTACTCCTCCCGAATTCGTGGGAAATCGCGAATTACGAGAGAAGAGCATTCGCCAGATTTTCACCAAAGAATCGCCTTTGCGCGATAACATTTCTATTCCCGATGATTTAGCGGGTTAGAGTTTATAACCTGCGACAGTAACAAGAACAAAACCTGCGTGAGTGACCGCGATTTCAAACTCGCGAGGAAGAGGCGATTGTTAAATTGGAATCTCCAAGAACCTTTGGGCAGTAACGCGTATATCCTCGAAGGTCCGTCGTCGTCGTCGTCGGCGCGTAAAAACGTAACTTTTCCCGGGACAAGGGTGGCGGCCGGTAAACGCGGATCCGGTGAGACATCGTTCAAAGAGGAACAGGACAACGAGGTGTTTATATCCAGCAACAACAAGAAGAATAAAACGCGCGTGAGTGACAGAGATTCTAAATTCGCAAGGAAGAGACGATTGTTGGATTGGAACCTTTTGGAATGACGAGGCTGGAAAAATTATACTATAATCCCGCGCACTATGCGGGATACTCAGCCGTGGAAAATCTTTCGCGCGCCGCCGAGACGGATTTCAATCGAAACGAAATTATTAGTTGGCTCGAGTCACAAGACGCGTACACGCTGCACAGACCGATGACTCTCAAAGGGAGCGGCGCGGTCTAGGCATGCCTCGAGCATCCCCCGCTGCTCCCATTAGCCAACCCCACCTCCGCGTGGTGAGAGTCGGGCAACGTCTGGACGCTGCCACGTCCAGACGGCCGACGGGGCCCTGGCTGTCCGTGTGCCCCAAAAGGCGGACTCTTCCCTCCGCCCACGTGCCCAGTCTATGGTGAGACGTGGGGCCAAGAAAGGACGGGCTTTTTCCAGCGGTAACGGGAACGGTGGCGCCCCCCGCGAACCCCGGTGTCCGGAGGACTCGAGCGATATGAAATCCGCAGAGACAGTCCACACTGTCCGAGCATTGGGGCGAGTAGGAGTGCCTCCCGACCGTGCCGCTTCCTTCCCTTTCCAGCGGGAGCGGGACAGGGCAACGCCTCGATAGGACCGGTACCTGAGCGGCTCGAGCGGTACGAAACCGTGCAGACAGCCTAGTTGGGCCGGGTATTGGGACCGGAAAAGGTGCCGCCCAGCCGCGTCGCTACCCTTCCCCCTCTTTCTTCCTTCCCTACACCTCCCGGAGAGGTATCCCACACTTGAGCAGTCCATCACCCTCCGTCTCCCTCTGCCGCATCGATGATGTAGGGGAGGAGGCAGGGGCTGCCTCGCAGCCTACCGGGCCCTGCGTCCCTCCGTTTCGACGGCAGGATCGACGGAACCGGGGGCTCTTTTCCTTTCAGGTGCAGAACTACACAGCATTGCCGCGAGCACATAATTGGCTCGGCGCCGCGGCCGTCGGCCCTGGACGGGACTGTCATGGCGCTAGCGGCATAAAAACCCTACCACCTACTTCCCTTTTCCTTTTCCCTCACCCTAGGTGGCCCTTACTTCTGCCTCGCTGCATCCTTGATGCAGGGAGGAGGAGCATGGGCTGCCGTAACAACCTACCGGGCCCTGGGTTCCTCCGCTTTGGCGGAAGGGGCGACGGAACCGGGGGTATTTTTCTCTTTCAGGTGCCGTTAGTGTGAAGCCCGACACCCATAGGGTGTCGCGCTTTGCTCCCTCAGCCGTGAAGGCTATACGCAACTTCTTTCAGGTGCAGTATAAAACACAGCATTGCCGCGAGCACATAATTGGCTCGGCGCCGCGGCCGTCGAACCTGGGCGGGACCGTCATGGCGCTAGCGGCGAAGAACCCAAACCCTCCATTTCCTCCTTTTCCCCTACCCTTAGGGGCCCATAACCTTCCGCCCCCCCTTGCTGCATCCCCGATGCAGGTTAGGGGGGACATGGGCTGCCTTGACAACCTTCCGGGCCCCTCGTCCTTCCGCTTCGGCGAAAGAGGTGACGGAACCGGGGGTACTTCTCTT